AGACCTCGGAGAGCCTAAACTTTAGTTCGTTGAATGAGGCACATAATCCGTGAACTACAAAGCACCTTAGTCTGTGGAAAATGGTGGACATGGAGGAGGGGCCAAAGGTGGCAGCGGCAGTGTAGAAGAAGCCAGGCAACCTCCGCCATCTTCAGGGCCTCAGGCTGACCCTCTGGACAATCATGTGACCTCAGACCTGAGCCGAGACCACAACGTCCAGGAAAAGACTGGCTGCAGTCGCTTCCTGTCCTTGCAAGTTTAGGGGCGCAGGACCTTCTCGAGAGTGCCCCAGCGGGCCTGGCTCACAGCTTCGGCTCGGATCAGACCCACAGCCATCTCCACGCACAGCCCTCCCCGGGGAAACGACTGTGCTGGCTCAGACCACACCTGGGCCGTGTTCTGTTGCTTTAGCAAAACACCGAGACAGCGTGATGTGTGAGGAGCAGAAAGTCGTTTGGCTCACAGCCTGGAGGGGAGGTTCGAGAGCAGCTGCCCAGCGTCTAGAGGGCCGCCCCAGGCATCAGAACGTCGCAGGCACTAATGCCACAGGGCACCGCCTTTGAGGCCTCACCCGAGCGGCACCCCACAGCCGTCCCGGTGCCGCTAGACAGGAATCCGGGAATTAAGTTTCCAGTGCACGACTTATGGGAGCATGGCGCTAATCATCTGACCTAGAGTAGATATTGGGAATTTTACTAAATCGATTATTTTCAGCTTATAAGGCATGCGGCATTGAATATCGTTCTATAAAGCCCCTTTAAGCATATCTCATTTCTCTTGGATAGGTTGTGTTACTAGAAGTGAAATAGTACAGCGAAGAGGATGAACTTCTTTCAGTCTTTAGTTTTGTTAGACCGTGGTTTTTTTGTTTTGGTTTTTTGGGTTTTTTCTGGTACCGGGAATTGAACTCATGACTTTGTGCTTGCCAGGCAGGCGCTGTGCCGCTGAGCTAAACCCCCAGCCCCCGTTAGACCGTCTTTGTAACACATAATGATCACATTCGTGGTGGGGAGTGGACGCTGGTACCAGACACATTCTTTCCCCTCCTTCTCCCTCCATCTCTTGGTTCCCTTCTCTTTTGCAAAAGGTCTACCTCTGTGTTTCCTATGATCTGTCTTTTATTCTGCTGTTTATTTATACGTTGTGTTTCTCATATAGGAGAAACCATGTGATCTCTAAGCTTGCATTTCTGATTTATTTCATGTCACATGGTGGTCTCCAGGTGCAGTCACTGTCCTACAAATGACTCAGGTTTATTTTTTATTTTTTGTCTTTTTTTGAGCCAGGCTCTCACTACGCAGTTCAGGCTGGCCTTGAGCTCACTTTGTAGCCCAGGCTGGCCTCAAACTCACAATGATCCTCCTGCCTCAGCCTCCCAAGTAATGGGATTACAGGCATGTACCACCCCGCCCAGCATGACTCAGGTTCAGAGGACAAACTTTATTAAGGATCTTGATATATAATATCAAATGGCATTTTATGGAAGTCCCACTCTACACCCATGAGAGCTCGTGGCTCTTCACACTCAGCAGCCTTAACTATTACCATATGAAAGTACTTGCCACTTTAACAGCCGAGCGCGTCTGCTGAGCGTGTCGAGGCCTCTGGCGATTTCCAAGCCTTCCTGTGTTTCTGCCAGGGCAGACGCCTTCTGGGGCTGGCTGGAGGAAGGGAGAGAGCCAGTCTGTGGTTTTTTTAAATGTATTCCTATTGTTGTGAAAATGTTTAAAGTTGACAACTTGAAAACAGCTCATCTTTCCTCTTTGGGACATAACCTGCCTCTTTGCCTTTCCAAATCCTCTTTTATGTTTTTTTTGTTTTGTTTTTGTTTTTGTTTTTTTCCAGTACCAGGAATCGAACTCACGACCTTGCGCTTGCCAGGCAGATGCTGTGCCGCTGAGCTAAATCCCCAGCCCCCAAATCCTCTTTTATGAATCAGTAAAGTTTTATGCTTTCTAAGTTTAGGTCTCATATATTTCTTATTGTGGCTTTTATGCATTTTGCTGCTATAACAAGTGAACCCCTTCCCATATATTACATTACATTTCTATTATGATGATGATTATTATGATTTTGTTTTTTTAAGACAGGTTTTCATAGTTCAGGCTGGGCTTAAACTCACTATGTAGCCCAGGCTGGCCTCCAACTCTGAGTGATTCTCTTGCCTCAGCCCGTGGAGTGCTGGGATTACTGGGATTACAGGCATGCACCACCACACCCTGCTATATTTCTACTGTTTTGTAAGAAATTACACTACACTTCTGTGACATATCTGTAATGCAGATGTTGTTAGGTGTGAATCCAGCGCTCTGGCACATCCTCTGGCCTGACGCTGCATTGGGCTCCTGGTCCCTCAGCCACTGGCCGCTCCACTAGGGTCAGCTGCCTTTCCTGCTTCCTCAGGTTGCTGGAGAAATCCATTTCCTGTTTCTCACTGGGGCTAAGGACATTCTCAGCTCCCGGAAGTCAGCTCAGAGCCTAACCAGGTGGCCTCCACAGGGCATCCCTCTCCTCTGACCGCTGATCCGGGAAGGGTGTGGTCCCTTTGGTGCTATCACTGCTGAGGATGAGAGCCCAGGGCCTCCTCAGTCCAGAAGAGTGCCACTTTGTGGAGACATCCCAGCTCCATAGTCCCTTTTAAGAACTCACAAGTAAGTCAGATCCACCAGGCCAACCTCTCTTTGATTCCGTCAATGCCAACTCATTAGGGACCTTAACTGCATCTGAAACATCCCATCTGCCACTACAATAAAATAACTACAGAGTGACATAAATTTAGTCATATGCCCACTGACCCTCCTGGGTACTTTCATAATTTAGGAAGCCCCTGCTTCAAAATAAAAATAAAAAGGGCTGGAGGTGTAGCTCAGTGTGAAGGCCCTGGTTCTATTCCCAGTACTACAAAACTCAAAAGAAAACATAAAACAAAAAGCCTGAAAAAAGCTACCTACTATAATTTCCGTTAGCTATGTCTGGAATCTTTTGATTCTTCATCTCTTGCCTCCTTATAAGACAACATATTTTCAGCTTGCTCTAGAAAATCAAATGGTCAATAAAAATATTCTAATTACACTATCGGCAGGAGCCAGCCACCAAAGTTTTACACGCCTTTTTCAGGAGGGCAGATTCAAACACTTTCCGCATTCTTTGTGTGCTGCGTGTGTCCTCCGGTGTCAGGTAACGGTGAGCATTTCAGAGTCACAGGCCTTTACCTGCCCCTGCCCAAAGCTCAGCTGCAGCAGCCTTTGGGCCTTTGGATGTCAGTACTTGCATAATCATTTAACTACCTTGTCTTTCTCTTATTACGTTATAAAAAAACGAGGCTGAGGGCTCACACACCGGTCCGTGAGACCTGGGAGACCCACGGTTTGCTTGCTCGGAGCTGTAGCTCACTCCCTGCCTTCAACTTGGATAATCTTTCACTTCCCGTCACATTTTCTTCTTTCTTAGTAAGCTACCAGAAGCTCTCTGCACACACACACACGCACACACACACACACACACCCGGGATGCCCCCACGTGCAGAGGTTTTCTAATGAGCATCCTCTGAACAGACCCTTTGTTGTGAGAATGCCGCAGAAAATGCTCAGCTGCAAGACTGGGTAGAAAGTGGTCACGATTAAAGGTGTCCCTGGGCAGTTCAGACCTCTCTCTGTGGCCTGTGCGTCTCCTTAGAGGTACAAAGAGCTGCCTGTTTTTGTGATAAAAGCAAGCCAAGGTAAGCAGGAGCTTTGGAACTGCATCCCCAAATATTTAGGTTTACAAAATATGCCCGGTTTTCCAGGCTGTCCCTACAAATCTCTAACCCCATCAGCTGGACCACAGTCTTGTTTTTCTTCTTGCAGCTGCCCTGAGCATTACAGATTTGTTGATATAAAGTTATAATAATCTCCCTCACCATGCAGGAATTTCAGCAAATGACCCAGCAAATGAAATACGGTTTTACTTCTCCTTAAACTGTCTAATCCAAAATGCTAAATGTGATAAAATGAGAATTGACCTGAGACTAAAGGGAGGAAGATCAAGACAAGTGGATACAGAACAAGAAATTTTTAGCTAGGTCTGGTGGCACACACCTGTAATCCTAGCACTTGGAAGGCTGAAGCAGGAGGATGACTGTGAGTTTGAGGCCAGCCTGGGCTACCTAGTAAGTTCAAGGCCAGGCTGGACATAGTGAGACTCTGTCTCAAAAACATAACAAAGCAAAACACAACCAAGCAATGGGTAAGTATCTAAAGGAAGAAAAAAAAAAGGATGAAATAACTGATTGTTGATTATGGCATATAAGCTAATGGTTGTAAGACTTGCTAGTTGCTGTGTAGAAAATTACGGTTAAGTCCAGGCAAGTTACCGTCCCATGTTCCTTACCATGATTTGAAAGTAACCCCAGGCAATATTACCAACTTTGGCAGGATTAGCAGATAGAGATGTTCTCTTCCAACCCATGGCTAGCTTAATGGTTCTTATGTGTGGATACTGTGGACCAAGTATTTCTTTTAATGAATTCTATGGAAAACATGCTTTGAAATTCACACATGACCCAGAGCTGGAAGAGACAGTTAATACAATGCTTTGGCTGCCTTTGGCACCAAAACCAAGAAAGGATGAGGTGGGTAGGTGAGGGCTGGGATGGGATGGGAAGCAGGGGGTATTGAGGTGGTCATGTGTTAAATGAAAACCACTGAAGCATTCACAGGAGAAAAATGGCTGATATGGAACAAGAAGAGATGATAAGACTTCGTGCTTATCCATGAAGCAAGCACCTGCTGATCTCAAGCATTTACAGATTTCCTTTGGACTTTAAGTACACTGGGATGCCGCGCAGGTCCGGGAGATTCCTGCAGGAGGGAATGACACGGGAGAAGGACAAACAACACAGACACCAGAGGTCCTTCTGGAGGGGCAGCGGAGCAAGGCTCCTCTGACACAGAGAAATGTTTTTGGCTTTATTACATACTTTTGCAATTACATATGAAACTCTTAGATACAGTGAGGTCTCTATTTTAGTTACAGATTCAGACATGGTTGACCAACCATCCAGCTGCAACCCTAGCAGGGAATCAACTTTTTTTAAAGCACATAAAAGGAAGCAAAAAGATCAGTCACTAGGTGTTCTTGATTAGGTGTAATTCTTCACAGAATTGTTCACTTCTCTACTGGACAACACAACCCACATTTGCAATATCTCCATCTAGAGCCAGTCCAACACAGGGCGTTCACCAAATGTTTTCCCACGCGCTGAGGCCCACGCAACGCTCCCCTCGCGTTCTGGTGGGCGAACATTGCCACACAGGAGGTAGGGGACTGACGCAAATCTCTGTGGTGGCTTCTACTTCCCCTTTCAACCCTGGAGGGGTGCCTTCCATCCTGGAGTCTGATTCCTTAACTACTTTCAGTTCTGATCCTTCAGGTTCCCAACCATCCTTTATCAATAGCATAATGGATATCTGGAAAGCTATGATTAACAGAGAGTAGAGGGAGAGGCCGCACACCCGTCTCATGCGGTCCCTGCTTTGCAGATACCCGCTGCCAGTCCCGACTTTGTCAAGGAACTGGCACTGGAAGGTCTCCGGCACTGGGATAAATGCTGCCACCGCTTGCATGGGGCTCCCACACTGGGGTGACAGGGTGGCCTGGAGCCTGGCCCTTTTCACGGCTTCTTCTGGTAACTGGGAAATCTCTTCCTCTGGTAACTGGAATGCTAGGCACGAGCCTTAATTTTTAAAGCAGTTGCTCCCTTGGGCATCAAAGGAAATGCCCTGCCCCATCCGGCCCCTGGTACCCTTTCTTTTCAGTTGCAATCTTGTAAGAGCCCAGCTGCCTGCTCCACACATGCGGTGTTTACCGGGACACTACTTCCAGCCACCCTTCATTCACGGGGAGCAAACGTCCTGGCTGTGTCCAGGTTCTCCCTCTGGCTGACACCTGCCGCACCCCTGCACTGGGGCTCACAGACAAAGGCAAAGCCCCACATCTCACTCCGACACCAACTGCCCTGCTCGGGATTTGATGAAGGTCGGGGCTGAGGAACAGAGGCTGCTGAATGCCAGGTGATGATAACGGCAGTATCACCTCGGCCAAGAACAATGCACGGACAGAGACTCATGAGGCGGGGCATGAGCTCGGTCCTGTTCAGGAGCACTGAGGCCGCCAGCTGCGGCACAAGGACGGCGTCTCCACCCAGAGCGAGTGTGTAGGCCAGGTGGAGGAACTGGCTCCAAAGAACCAATGATTGGAATACTGGAGAAGGAGCATGGAGGATAGACGAACTGCAGAAACCTGCAGCTGTCACCAAAGGGAGACGGCCACCTGGGCCTGTTGGGCCTGAGGACGGCTGTGAACGTTCCTGAGATGACCCGTCGCAGTCCAGGAAGTGGCAATGGTAGCACCTGGGCCAATGACCCATGCACGGCAGGTGGCATCCAGCTGTGTGGCCATGTGGGGCACGAGCTTGTGGCCATGTGGTGACCCTCGGGAGGCCTCTTGCAAGGCAGTGGTGCACACAGGAAGGCCACAGCTGATCTCTAGGAAGACAGTGGTGACATCTTAGAAGTCGTCGCACACCAGCCAAGTCTGTGTCCCTGAAGCAGAGCTGAATGGATCATGCCCACCTTGGGACTGAGTCAGATGTGCGCCCTTGAAACACCCCAGAAGCACAGCCAGGCAGGAGGGGCCAGGCCGAGGGACAGACCTAGCTGAGGATCACGCTGGTGGGCGATGTCCCCCTGGCCCCTTTTTTGCAATAAAAGAAACCTTGTATCGATCACAGAGCAAAAGTAAGGCTGCATATCATTTTTTTGCCACTTACAAGAATATACTTTATATTGGAAGAAGTAAGTAACAGTTGTCAGGAGAACGATCCATAAGCACCCTGCAGCTGGTTGGAGTGTATCCCGGGGCCATCACCTCTCTGTAATCTGTCCTCAGACTCCTAGCTCTTTCAACCGAAATTCAGCCCTTCCAGATTCAGTCTGAAGGACAGCCATTGCCCTTTCATAACTCTTTTCAGGGCTGTCCAAGACAGCACAAGCAATCCATCTCGACCTAGGATGCTTGTGATACCCTGAGTTCTGGGACGCAGCCTTCCAGGATTCCCGCTAATTCAGCCTCACAGGCGCACACGCCCACTGGACTCACACCGGTTACTACTGGAACCCAGCCGTGGAAAGGTAGAGTTTACAGCGATCTGTGCGGGCGGTGGAGGGCTCCGAGCAGGAGTGCCCGGGCAGTGGTGGCCAACCAATAGCATGCGTGCTACAGCAGGAGGTTTGCAGCACGGAAAACTCTAAGAGGTTCGCCACCCCTGGTCAGTGCCGCAGCCTCTCCGGCCCAGGCCGCTTCCCTGGTTGCTCCTCCCTGGATGGTGAAAGAAAAGATGGATGGGCACAGGGAGGTGCTGTTACACACTGAGTTGTGCCCCCCGGCACCCTCGATCCATCCGAACCCCTGGTCCCCGGGCCTTCAGCAGTGGCTAATTAGACATGGGGCCACTAAAGACCCTGTCTCAGCATAAAAAACAAAAAAAGCCCAGATGTAGCTCAGGATGAAGGCCCTGAGTTCAAGCCCCAGGGTCACAAAAATACAAACAAAAAACCCAACGACAGAACACTCAGACATACCGGGTGACTCGGCATGTGCTTCCGCTCGCCTTGGAGAGGTGGGGGAGGTGACATGGAACGACCGTGCCCTCAGACGTGCACATGCGCAACGGCCACCTGCCGGCCGAACCTCCAGAGCTTCAGAGGTTTGCACCCGGTGAAGGACGGGAATCTGTATTCCTAACAAACCCCACTCCTGCTGGTCCGGTGAGATTAGAAATTGAAATAGGATTTTTTAAAAAATAATCAGTTCATTTAAAAATAGCATTAATTAAGCCATTATATGTTAATAACATTAATGAAAGACCATTACATTTAATGAAATAGTGGCATTATTTTACACTTTTTCGAAATCTCTTAACATTTGGCTTAATAAACTGGGCATGGTGGTGCACACCTGTGATCCCAGCATGCAAGGGGCTGAGGCAGGAAGATGGCTCCGAGTTCGAGGCCACCTGGGTTACATAGCGAGACCCTGTCGCCCGCCCCCGCCCCCGCCCCCCAAAAAAAGCTTATTAGAAGTGGCGAGCTCACGCTCCCTGCTTTCATATTCAGACCCGAGCTCTGGGAGCTCCACTGCGCATGTGCGAGAGAATGAGCGCGAGGCCCCCGGATGCCGCTTTAATACCCGGATGAAGACATTTACAGCGGGAACGGGAGAGCAAGGGAAAGGGAAAAGTGGGACTGTGGTGTGCGTGAGCCAACCCCTCACGGTGAACGCGATCATCACACACGGACGAAGAAAATAAACACATGTGCGCTGTCAGTCTCTTAGGCTCCCTGGGGCACTCTGAGAACAGATGCCTGTAACCCAGGCAGAAGAGGGAAGCGCCCCGGGGAGAGGCCCGACAGGAGGGAGGCACGGGGGAGGCCAGTGGCTCCTCCGCCCTGGGACCAGCTCCGCCCCCAAACACAGAGGAGCCCGAGGGGGCCTCAGCGGGGCGGTCCTGCCCCCACAGACGCCCAGTCTCCTCTGGTGACCCGGGGCGCCCCGCTGGAGCCTCTGTGGGCCTCCAGGCTCCAGCACTGCCGGCTGCGTCCCCTCCCCGACTGCGGGGGCCGCTGGGCTTCAGGGTCAGCCGGTCCTCCTGGAGCAGGCGCTGTCTCGCAGCCCTTGGCCTCCAGCGTTTGTCGCAGTGCGCATCGCCACCTTCCTGGCCGTCCCGAGCATGCAGTGAGTCTGTTGCTCTCCCGAGTGAGAAGATGCCGCCAAGTTCTCCCCACGCGCTCCCTCCCCGGCTCGCTCGCGCTTGCAAATACTGGTGGCTCGCTGGGGCTAGAAGGAGACGTGGCTGCTTGGAAGCCCGGGAACAGCTGAGGTCTTCCCGCAAAGAAGGGCAGGCCTGTGGCTGGCTGTTGTGGGGACGCCTGGGAGCGTCGGCCTCACGGTGCGGAATCGCAGTGATGACGTGACCCGTCTGCCTTCCCGCAGTTTGTCTGTGCGACTCCCCATCGGTAATCACAGTCCTGGGGATCTCTCGGAAGCCAAGGTGCCCAGGCCGGGATAGACACCAGGGCGACCAAATCCCTCTGTTCTGAGGAGTATCACCAAGTGCTGTGGCCCACGGACGTTAACCCAGGACACCCGCTTCCTCCTTCTGCCAGAAGCTTCTCTGATGCCCGATGCTAACCAGAGAGCTCGGCTCGGTTTTCAGACAAGCAGCTGACCCTCTGCGTAGTTGTGGAATGCTCCAAGGGCCCATTTTTATGGCTATTTTATGCAAAGTCCAAGAGCTTGCGCACCGCTTTGCTGCCTGTCTCGCCTGCAGTGTTTGCTTCCTGCTGCCCCAGGGAGTCCAGGCCCGGAGGAATGCGGTTCCCTTCCTCCCTGGCGCTTGTCCGAGGGACCATGGAGCCGTGACCGAGAAGCCCGCATGCCCCGGGGGACGTCCTTGGCCGGCTTCTCTGGGCAGCCCCTTTTCTCAGCGCACTGTTAGCTCCGCCACCCGCAACACACAATGCACTCACGCTTTCCTAGGCTCCTTGGGGCCCTCCAGGCCTTTAGCCACTGGTGCTGGCAGAAGCTCAATCTCCAGACGTCTGTTTCTGGATTGCCATCAGCGACTACTGCCCTGCTTTTGTTGCAGACCTGTTACCGTGCTTCAGCTTAGCGGTTGTTTCCACACTGACCTTTCTTCCCCAATAAAAACGCAAGTATGGTTTTCCAGCAGTATGGTTGTGTGAGTGTGAGTGTGTGTGTGTGTGTGTGTGTGTGTGGTATTGCAGTGGAACCCAGGCCCTCACAGGTGCTCCACAAGACAGCGCCACTGAGTTACATCCCCAGCCCTTTTTAAATTTTATTTTGACACAAGGTCTCACTAGTTGCTCCAGCTGGCCTCAAACATTCAATGCTCCTGCCTCAGCTTCCAGAGTAGCTGGGGTTACAGGTGTGTGCCACCACACCCAGAAAGCTGCGTAATCTTTATCTCTGCAGCGAGGAAGGAAGTGAGTCTTTGTGATACATCCCGACTTATAGGGTCCTCCACCCATTTATCTGCTCGTAGGATGATCGCCGCGTTCCCTCTCCTGTTCTGCCGGAGGTAGCTCAGCGCCCCAATAAAAACGCAAGGAGCATGCAGTTTGTAAGTTTACAGGTGAACGCATCCAAGTGTCCCTCAGTAGTTGCCAGTCTAACTCTTCATCATCTTCTGTCCAAAGAGCTGTTCAGTGTGCATACGGAACACTTGTATTTTAATTAGATTTACGAGTCCTGTGGCAAGTACTCAGAGGGGACACTACAAGTTGGCATTCGATATTTGTGTCCTTTCATGTTGTCTTGCTCTCTCACTGCCGTGTCTGTCCTCCCCAGAGAGGACCGAGTTGGCAGCGAATATACGTGACATTTTTTCATGTCTCGCATAGTACTTAACACAATATGCTGGCCACAGCATGGCTGTTAAACAATGCATGTTAGGTTTTGTTTATGTTTTTGTTGCTTTTTGTTTTTGGTACCAGGAATGGAACTTATGATCTCAAGCTTGCCAGGAAGGCACTGTACCACTGAGCTATATCCCTGGCTGGTTTTTGTGTTTTTGAGACAGGGTCTTGCTATGTAATTCAGGCTGGCTTTGAAGCCATGGTGATCCTCCTGCCTCAGCTTCTGAAGTGCTAGGGTTACAGGCATGCACCACCACACCTAGCTTAATTTTTTGTGTTTTTTTTTGTTTTGTTTTGTTTTTGGTACCAAGAATCAAACACAGCCTCATGCTTGCCAGGCAGGTGCTGTGCTGCTTAGCTATATCCCCGGCCCTAGTTTTGTTTTTTTGAGATAGGATCTCACTAAGTATTTTAGGCTGGCCTTGGATTCATTATAGTCCAGGCTGGCTTTGAACTTGTGGTGATCCTCCTGGCTCAGCCTCTTAAGTACTAGGATTGCAGGTGTACACCACTATGCCTGGCAACAGTGATATGTTTTGAATTGAAATTCCACCTCTACCTTTGTATGTAATTGAGAGCATCTAGAACAGATGGACAGAGTCCAATTGGGAAGCTGGCACTCTCTTTTGAAATCCTTTTCCAAAGTGGGATTAAAAGATTCGCTCAACAGTATGAAAAAACTGATTGAAAAATAGGCAAAAGACCTGGACAGTTACTCAGCAATGAATAATGGCAAATAAGCGTGTGAAAGAGATACTGAGCAGCCTATGCCATAGAATTAAAAATTGAAATGGCAAGATGTCACTCACATCGTGGGAATCACCAGAGCCCAAAGCACCAACAGCATCCAGGGCTGGCGAGGGTGCAGAGCCGAAACAACTGCTCACGGCCGGCTGGGACATAGAGCAGCTTGGCCACTCCAGAAGACAGCGCCGCAGCTTGCTACAGAGCTAAACATGTTCTCAGCACATGACCCAGCAGGGTACTCTTTTGTGTTCACCCAATGGAGTTGAAAATTTACATCCACACAAAAACCTGAACATGAACACTTACAGCAGTTTACTCCTAGTTAGCAAAACTCTGATGCAGCCATGACAGCCTTCAGTAGCTACGAGAATAAACTGTAGTCCACTAGATCATGCACTAACTGTCGTTTGGCAAAAAGAAATGAACCATTAAGCCTGAAAAGACATGGAGAAAACAGATGTACATTACTCAGGGAGAGAAGCTGATCTATGAGGCTACGTTGTAGTAAGATCCAGCTCCGCGGCCATGAAGAGTACTTCCGAAAGAACCGAGTTCTTTCGGTTCTGAGAGAGGCCGAAGTGTGGGGACACTGAAGGATCCCTGGTTTCCAGGGGTCGGGAAAGCTGGGTGAGTAGGAGCAGCACGGAGGATTTGTAGGGAGATGACATTCTCATGGTGGATAATGTCTCGATATTTTGTCCAAACCCTTAGAAGGCACAGCGACTCTAGCGTAAACTGCAGACTCGGTGACTCTGACGGAGTTCATCAGGGCCAGCAAGCGTGCCACTCGGATGGGGGTTTCAGCAGTGTGGGAAGCAGCAAGCATTTGGAGACCCGGGTATACAAAAAAGCTCTGCATCATCCATATAATTTCTCCATATCTCTATAATTACTCTAAGAAAATGAAGTCTATATTTTAGAAAATGAGTATGATCAGTAGACTTAGCACCGTGTCAACAAAGGTCCCGGCCATCCCAAGGCCCTGGGACGTCCTTAGAACAAGGGCCTCCTAGACTTGCCTTCATCCCACTGGCCAAATCACACTGGCTGTAGCCAAACGCAGAGCCGGTGTGCATATGAGGCCGCAGGTATAACAAGAAGCTTCCACACTTGGGTCTGAGGGCTCAGTATATGGTTAGGCTTCACCAGATCTCAAACTGGAAAAACCTTCAGCTTGTCACTCACAGGGAGCTGTCGTCGGTCTCTGTGACTAAGGAGAATTCTCAGCAATTTCATGCTGAAGGTTGCTATTCCTGTAGGCATAAATCCCGCCTCCCTGGCCGGGTGGCTACATTGCTACCCTGCTCTTCTTGAGGACTGGTGACCTCAGATGGCCCCGTCTCACATCCACATCAGCACATCTTCTTCATCTGCTACTCATTTGCTGCATGGACGAGCTCAAATCCAGGCAGGATAGACGGAGGTTAGCAGAGGGCCAGGATTTGCATCCTTAGATGATTTCAAGGCTGAGGGCTGACCTTTGTATCCTTTGTGACAGACGCTCTGGATCAGAGGATATGTATCACTTCCAAGGAGCTGAGTCTTAAATCAGTTAAACTTTCAACAGCAAGTAATAGATAATCAACTCAGTGTGATTTAAACAATAAAGAGATTTTTTTTTTCCTCTTAAGAAATTCCAAAGGAGGTGTTGAGCGTGGTGGTGCATACCTGTAATCCCAGTACTTGGGGGGCTGAGGCAGGAAGATCACTGTGAGTTCAAGTCCAGCCTGGGCTACATGGTGAGTTCAGCCTGCACTGAATAGGAAAACTCTGTCTCAAAAAGACAAAAAAAAAGAAAAAAAGAAAAAAAGGCA